AGGGCAGAAAATCACTGATATAAATATTGTCATACATATTTATTCGAATGAATATTCATGAACCGTGCTATTTGGTTTTTGTTGAAGATAAGATTGTAAGGTCAATTATCTCTGTGTGGAAAACACAGGGGGTACAAACTATTTCCAGCAATAGACGTTATGTGCAAATGCGATTCGGATGTAAATGCTTACATCTGGTGACGACTCCTTCCAGTCGAATGATGTTGGGATGGTCAAACTGGCCCATAATGCTGGCCTCACTCAGAAAGTCACGTCTCTGCTGCTCCGAATATCCGGCTTTCAGACTCTTGATGGCCACCTGGATCTCCCTCTTACTGGGCAGCCTCAGACGGCCACTGCAGACCTCTCCAAACTCACCTGGGAGTCAAACAAGAGCCTGTCAACTAATTGAATTTTCCCTCAATCCCTCATTTCATTGCATTACAATCCCCTGGTGAGCGGTTCAGGTGGTTTACACAAGTAGGGCAAGCTTTTGAGTCAATTTATTTTGACTTACCAGCCCCAATAACTCTCTCAATCCGTATGTTGGAAACTTCGATCTCTTTGGCGAAATCTCGCACCGCCTGGTTGGGGTCCTCATATGTGTGCGGGTGAATGTACGTGCGGGTTTCGGGAATTTTGACTGCAATGCAAGAACACGGTAGGAGTGGGGATAACGGTTGGGTTATTTCACAGTCATTTTAGTTACCTAGACTGAACCATCCATTTTCCTAAAAGGAGGGGAGTACCACATTTTCAACCTCATTAAACATTGTCTTTGGCAGGTAGGAAAAGTGTCATTAGAGAAAACACACATTAGGCAACTAGAGCGATCAGAGACACCATTTATCAGCAGATGCATCAGAGACTCTGTTCACTAACCGACAATTTGCTGGAAAAACATGCATTTTCTTTATTCATCCATCTAGCCAGACCGAATTATGTTCACCGTCTGACTGGCCAAAAAAAATATAATCCTGATTTGATGACATATCTCAAACTATGTTCTTTGAACATATTAGACGTCTTAAAAAGTTTAGCTCAATTATTTGCTGATTACTCTTAAAAGATTTGAGTTATTTTCCAAGACCAAAAACCCTGTGTGAATTACCTCGTCCATGCTGAAACTGCATTTTCTCTTCCTCAGGGTCTTGCTTTGCTTTAATATATCCACAGCGCCTGGAACAATAGAATAAGCACAATTAAAACAGATCGACACAATGAAATAACATGCTTTCTCTCACACTAAATCAACCAACCAATCCCCCAAGACTAAGAAAATGTTGATGACTGTAGAATTAAATCTACAGCGGCCTGATCTGGTCACATTTATCATCTTTTTACAGTGTAGTTTAAACATAATGTGTCTTTAGAGTCCAGTTTTCCCACCTAGTAAAGGATTTCACTGCTTTAATCCGCTCTTTAGAACCGGGAAAATTCAATCCTGACACCTCTGACTTTATCATTAACTACATCATTCCTCTCACAGTGGGATCATAAATAAGGAAATGCCCCAGATAATGAATATTCCAATACACTGGGGAGGAAAGGTGGCCAACGTAGGACTGATAATTATGTTCATTATTAATTTAATCCTCTTAGTGACACACGCTCACACATTCCCTTTTCCTGTCATGTCTTTAACAAGAACGAATTGCCAAAAATGTACTGTCCCAGGCTGACTAGCCATAGTAATTATACAGCACACTGAAATGTGGAGAATGGCTGCAGAATGTCTACAGACTGGCACGTTTGATGGGAACCAGGTGGAAAAAGCCATCCTAAATGGGTTTCTAGAGGACATTGGCTCAATAATATGGGTGAATATCCACTTATGAATAGAAAAGCAGACTGGAGTCTCTATTGTGCTATAGCGGATGACAAAATGCAAGGCATTTCCTATAACTGCAGGTAAAGAAAGCTAAGAGGTCCACAGTGGAGAGACAGTGTTATGAGTCGAAAGCCTTAGGGGGAATTCACACTGGACTCGTTCTTGCATCCAAAACCAGCTAGAGTGCAAGGGACTGGAGCAGATTGCAGCGGTCATGAGGTACTTTTTTCTTCTTTTTTTTTTAAGATAATGTTTTTAAACTGACATACCTTTTTAAAAAATGCAACGAGCAGAGATATACAACACAGCTGTCAAAAAGGCCTGTTGGATGATTGTGTACACAGATGACCAAAATAAAAGTTGTGTAAATACCCCTTTAGAAAGACTATGGATGAGTGCCATTCAGAACTGAAATAACTATGCTTCCCTTAATTCCAGTTCAAATACTGAACTTGAAATGAGGGATGCAGAACTGCAATTTAAATTTTGGTTTTATAAAATGATAGACAGAAAAAAAAGCAGGTATCTAGAATGATAGATAGACAGAACAACAGAATGATAGATTAAATAGTAAGACAGTAGATAAAATGACAGAACAATAGATAGAAATACAGAACGAAACAACAACAGATAGAACAATAGATAAAACATCAGACAGAATGAGAGAGAGAATGATAGAGTAACAGAAAGATGGAGCGACAGATACAATAGA